TAAAAGCTGTTTTGATTGGCAGTAGGCTCTGATATTGCATTCTACAAGGAAGTTAATTGATGTATAGAGGAATTTTAATCATAAATGCTTGGGTGAACAGATTTTTTCTCTTTAAGAAATGAGTAATTAAATTCTCTAGTCTTAAATTTTCACAGCACTATATAAAAACCTTAATGAACTAAAATAACAGTTAAACAGATTCATAGCTGGTTAGTCCTGGTATCTATAGCTAAATGACTAAATTATTATCTCCCTCCAAAGGCAAACAGACACTACTTTTTATTTATTTGCTTTTTATAGTTATTTAAAATTTTAAACCCAATTCCTAATATTTATTTACATGTTCCATTGTATATAAATGATGTGTATAATAAACAATAACTAAGACTAACATCTAGGTGCCCATACTGTAGCAAATAAGAATCATAAATTGTGGCACATTTTTTAGTAATAGGAAATGTATTTTATTAAGTTAAATTTAGAGGTGGTAAAAAGTCAAGTATATTTTTTTATTTATAGGCTATTTGAAAAGAAGGAAGTGGAGATTTCTTCTTTCAGCCACAAATCTCCATATTTATGGCTTTTTCCAGTACATTATAGAAAAAAATTCCCATCTCCTTCTCTGATGAAAAATGAACCTGGTTTCAAGCCTTCAACATCAAAAGACTCTTGATTGCTCCTGAATATGTTTCTCTGTATGATTCGATTTAGTAAACACAGACCAAGCACTGACCCAACCCCAGGCTTTTTGCTAAGTACCAGACAGCTGAAGATCCATAGAGGGGAGTCCCTCTGCACAGAGAGGTGGGGGAAGAAAAACAAACAAGCCTCGGTGGCATTGGGATGTAGCTGGTGTTCAGAGCCTGGCTAGGAGGACTGGGGACTGGCATAGGGGCTCCCAGTTCTGCTGGGGATGACAGGTTTGGAAAGCCTCAGGAGGTGAGACCACACTGCCACCATTGACCTACCCATCATTCCCTGTAGTCACTGTGTTTCTGGTATCTGGTGAAGAAGTAGAGGGGCATAGTAACTATTCAAAAACCATCTCTAGTGTGAATGAGTAGTTCATGGATGAAGGATAAGTAGGAGGGTGATGAGAAAATGATCTGTACTCTAGCTCATCTCCCTCCCTCCCTTTCTTCCATCTTTCCTTCCACCCTTCCCTTCCTTTTTACCTCCCTCCTTCTCTTTCCTTCCCTTCTCTTCTCCTTTTACCTTTTTGGGTAATTCAGAGTAGAGCATTGTTTTCTATGTTTTAAGCATTCTCCTCTCTGCTCTTGAACAGGATATTGACAGCTCAGATCGAGACAGGTGGTGTGAATACATCATGTATCGGGGCCTGATCAGGTGAGCAAGGGCATTTTTTTTTTTTTAATCTGTGAATTCTAGGATGCAAAGTGTCATGGAAGCAGTTCATTTTGCTGTTCTTCATAAGCATTCATTTTGTTGGTTACATTATTTAACAGTTTTGACATTTAGTAGTTTGATAAGGCGGAAATAAACTGTTGGTGGTGAACCCCTTTAGTCCCAGCACTCAGAAGGCAGAGGCAAGAACATCTCTGTGAGTTCGAGGCCAGCCAGGTCTACAAAGTGAGTTCCAGGACAGCCTGGGCTGTAACACAGAAACAGCCTGTCTCGGAAACCAAAACCAAAACCAAATAAACAAAGAAAAAGGAGGCAGAAATAGCTAAGCAAGCCAGGCGGTGGTGGCGCATGCCCTTAGTCCCAGCACTTGCGAGACAGAGGCAGGTGGATCTCTGTGAGTTCGAGACCAGTCTGTTTCTACAAGAGCTAGTTCCAGGAAACCCTGTCTTAAAAAACAAACAAAAAAAGAAATAGCTAAGCAAATTTAGTGATATCATAAGGGCACGGTAAACCATTAAACACATAAATATATAAATGCACAGTAAGAATGGTTCCATTGGGAGATGAGTCTTCCAGATACAGGAACCAGAGACTGCAAAGGCCCTAACACAGGGGTGTTTTGTTTGAAGGGAGGTGACTCTGGGGAACCAGCGGTATGTGTTGGGGTTGGAAAGTGGATGAGGTAGTGGGTGAATATTGTTACAGTGGGGAGGGGAGCAGATCTTGTCAGGTTTCATAGACCCTTATTAAGGACTCTGAATGTAAGCATAAGGGTGACCTTATTGGCCCTTGGGTGGCTCACTGGGTGGCTCACACACTTCTTGAAGGAAGTCCAGGAAGCCATTTAGGGGCTATAAGGGTTGTTTCATAGACCCTTATTAAGGACTCTGAATGTAAGCATAAGGGTGACCTGATTGGCCCTTGGGTGGCTCACTTCTTGAAGGAAGTCCAGGAAGCCATTTAGGGGCTATAAGGGTCATTCTGGTTACAGTCCTGGTTCAGAGACTCTCCAGCCATCGCTCAGAAAACCAGCTGCTGGAGGACTGGCCTGACTACTGTTTCAATGTTTCCAAAGAGCTATGGTAGAAGAACAAGCCACTTCTACCTAAGTCTATCTAGGATTGACAACACTGTTTCCATTTCATTCTTCACTCAAGCATTTGTTATAGGATGGCAGAAGTCTAGAAAACAAGCTTTGATGTAGACTGAAATAGGAATAACAGTTCCTCTGCGTGCGTGCGTGCGTGCGTGTGTGTGTGTGTGTGTGTGCTACAGCTTATACACTGATCTACCCTGGTTGCCCCAGCAAAATACAGTAGAATGAGTGGGTGGTTTAAATAAAAGTCATTCATATTCTCAAAGTTCTTGAACTTGTACAACCAAGGTAGCAGGGTTGGTGCTTGGTAAGGACACCCTCCCATACCCCCCCCAACTCCCGCCTTCTTGTCCAGGGCTCAAACGACCTTTTCTTGGCACTCAATCAAAAGTGTTGTCTCTCAATCACCCAGTTCACTGCCCTGCACTTTGGAGGCATTCATCATAATTGCATAACAATGGGCACCCCCATGCCTTAGGTAGTTATTCAGATAGTCACATTCCTTATCTTCAAGGACTTCAGGAATGTCTTTGAAAGCCATGTCTAAGAAACAGGTTAGAACTTTGATTTTAGAGATTTGAGAAATAAATAGCCCGGACTTATCAGAGACATGCTTTAGGATTGCCAGGAGCTGTAGTTCTGAGCTTAACCTGAAACCTTAACCTGTGTGACAGCTCAGTTCCCCAATCTTTGTCATGGGAAGGCGGGCTGCCTCCACCCACCCTGGTTCTTTGTTTCTGTTTTTCTTTCACAGGTTCTGTTCATTTCAGCTTTAAGCTTTCCCCTCACGCCACCTTTCTTTTACCTTTCTACTATTCTTGCTTCACTCTACATAGCCACACACAAATCTCTACCTCCACCCATCTGGTGGATTCCCATTTCTCTCAGATTGGAGTCCTTATAGGTGTATACAAGGAAGACTTTTTGTCATCTGCTTCCTCTCTCTCCCAAGTTCATTGCCTTTCACATTCTTTTTTCAGTCCTGGTGTGGTTGATTCCCCAAGCACCACACATATTTCTTCCTCGGAGCCTTTGCCTTTCTTATCCCCTACAACACCCTTACTCCACTGAGTGTCTAGCTTGCCCCTCTCTGGCAGTTGGGAATTGAACTCAGGAGCTCTGGAAGAGCAGTCAGTGCTCTTAACCTCTGAGAAATCTCTCCAGCCCTGCAATGTTACTTTACAAAGAGGCACTTTCTGCGCATGCTCTGTGAGGTGACTATCCCTGCCAAGCAGCTCTCCTTACTCTCCGTGCCTCTGGACTTTCCCATGGGACTTATCTGTCACCATCCGATAGATTTTATACATACACTTGTTTAATTTGTAATGGTTACTGAAAGCAAGAGCTTCCTTCTCATCAAATCTACTTCCTTCTCATCAAATCCGCTATCGAGTGAAAATGATACAAACATTCTTTTTGGAAGAGGCAAAATCTAACTAAATGAAAATGAAATCTTTGCTGCTGTGGTTTCTCCGTTTTCCCGTCTGAGAACTTCACTATGAACTATTTGGATAATGTCTCTAAAGTGTTTTGACTTTTCCAGAGAGCCTAAAGCTCTAAGCCAAACAGGATGTGGAAAATTTTTTCAGACATATAAAATCCCTGATTTTAGACTAGTAAATGTGCCTAGAAATCTGCATGTGATATTTGGATTTTGAAATAAGAAAATGTAAGCATGCATTCGTGTCACTCTGAAGATTTCCTGTTATTAGCTTATTAACTCAAAACTTAATTATATGGGAAGCACTTTGTGTAGATAGAACATTCATTTAAGTAAAAAACTAAAGCAAGGCTGCTAAGTGGAGTTAATTAAAACTGTGTACATATTCATTATTCATTTACCATGTTATGAAAACAATATTTCTGTTAATATTTAAGGTAACAAATCAAGTTAATTCTAATCATGATACACGAAGCCAAATTAGAAATGGGAAACAAGTTTAATACAGAATGTGCTACCGTTACAGAGTTCACTTTTGCTCTACTAGTCAGAAGGTTTTTTGGATGGTTTATTTTTTGTTTTTCAAGACAGGGTTTCTCCATGTAGCTGTCCTGGAACTTGATCTGTAGACCAGGCTGTAGATCCATCTGCCTCTGCCTTCTGAGTGCTGGGATTAAAGGTGTGTGCCATCAGTTTGCCCTGAAAAGAGCTAGTGTGTTTTTTGTTTTGCCTTTTTGAGACAGGGTTTCTCTGTATAGTCCTGGTTGTCCTGAAACTTGATCTGTAGACCAGGCTGACCGTGAACTCAGAGATCCACCTGCCTCTGCTACCTAAGTGCTAGGACTAAAGGCATGTGACACCACTTCCTGTCTTCATCAGAGTATTTTTATAATGAGACCTTTTACAAACCATTTCTTTTTCTGTTCCAGGTTGGGTTATGCAAGAATTTCTCATGCTGAACTGAGTGACTCTGAGATTCAGATGGCCAAATTCAGGATCCCTGATGATCCTGCCAATTACAGAGACAACCAGAGAGTGGTCATAGACCACAGAGGACTTCCCAAGAACATTCATTTCAACCCCAGGTGAGTGAGTACCTGAGTGAGTGCCTTTCTGCTGTAGATGGCAGATGCAAGCTGCCCCCATTCCCCTATGGAGTCCAGATATCAACTCGTATGAGCTCAAAGTTGTGGTAGATTCTAGAGGCTCAATTTAAGTGAGGGGGGTCATGGTAAAGATTATAACTCATGGGTTTAAGTTATAGTCTTTGCTTTCTGGAATGAAGAAATGTGTTGTAGCCCTAGTCTCAGGGAAAGTGCCCCATCCTTGTCATTATTTCCACTACCACCACCACCATCATCATTGTCACCATCACCACCACTGTACCATCATCAACATCAGCATCATCATCACCATTAACACGACATGACAGTGGGTATTTGAGTATTCCCATATTCCAGCTCTGTCCCAGACTCTTTATGTGTTTGTTAACTGCAGTTACCAACGTTTTATTGAGGAGGAAGTTTAGGCTGAGGAATACACTGCATTAGGTGTAAATGAGTAGTCAGTGGCAAAGCTGTGGAGGAGGTAGGAAGCCCATTAGCACCACAGGGTTGCTGCTGAGAACTGCGCTGTTTAATTTGGCCCCAGATCAACTCATTAGGACTCCCTGGGATGATGCTTGGTTTGGGGACTTAAACAGTTCTTCCCAAGTTATTCTAATGGGCAGTTCACACTGAGACTGTGAAGCATGGATAATTCCCTTACATTGCAGGTATTCTGCCATGAAAGAGATGTTTCATTTTGCTTAGTTTTTCATAGTGGTTATCTCACAGATTTGTTTGTGGTCAAGCATATGATTTGAAGTGTGTGCTCTAATCTCTGCCACAGTCCATGGTGAGGCAGCATTTGTATACCAGCCCGGACTCAGAGCATGCCCTAGACATTGTATCATTTGGCATTTCTACTTTACTAGCTCATAGCTGTAACAATTTCTCAGACTTTGTCAGGAACAAAGCTACACCACTTGATTTGTTTACTTGCTTGTGCCTCATGAGAGGACTGTACCAGAGTGTAATGATTAATGCAAGGAGAGGGAAAGCCCCGCCTGACTTTTTTACTGTGTTTCTCTCCTGCTGTGTACGCAAAAGAAAAGTGATAGTGAAGTCAGCCTCTCTATTCTTGCCATAGAAAACACCTGCTGCATATTGTTAGCCTAGAACAAGTTTCAACTAGGGTATTTCTCAGGCTGGAGAGATGGTTCAGAGGTTAAGAGCACTGGCTGCTCTTCCAGAGTCCTGAGTTCAATTCCCAGCAACCATATGGTGGCTCACAACCATCTATAAAGAGATCTGGTGCCCTCTCTTGGCCTGCAAGAATACATTCAGGTGGAGCACTGTATACCTAATAAATAATAGATCTTTAATAATAGTAATTATATCTTTAAATAAATAGATAATAGATCTTTTAAGAAAAGTGTAATTCCCACTGAACATGTGTCACTTTCAGAACATGTGTCTTAGTTAGGTTTCTAGTGCTGTGATGAAACGCACGACCCAAAGCAAGTTGGTGAGGAAAGGGTTTATTTGACTTATGCTTCCACATCACAGTTCATCATCAAAGGAAGTCAGGACAGGAACTCAAGCAGGGCAGGAATCTGGAGGCAGGAGCTGATGCAAAGGCCATGGAGGAGTGCTGCTTACTGGCTTGCTCTCAGTGACTTGTTCAGCCTGCTTTCTTATAGAACCCAGGACCAGCAGTCCAGGGATGGCGCCCACCACAATGAACTGGGTCTCCCACTTGAATCATTAAGAAAATGTCCTACAGGCTTGCTTGCAGCCAGATCTTATGGAGGCATTTTCTCAAATGAGGCTCCTGTCTCTCCAACGACTCTAGTCCATATCAAGTTGACATAAAACTAGCTAGCACAGTGATCCTTTTTTTTTTTTCTGAATGGGATGACTTTTTAAATGGAAAATAAAAAATTTTAGGCAGAAAATGTTTTCTTGTTTCTTTATTCTTCATATACCAGGAGTATGGCAAGAGCCCAATAAACTATTTTTGGTGAACCACAACTGCAGATTGAACCAAGACAGCCCTGGCTGAGCGAGGCCTATTTTCTTGTTCAGTTACAAGAATAATGAAGGTGTTGGGGCAAGCTCACCTTTATCACAAAATCCTCCTCAGTTCATTGACGATATATTTTCTCAGTAGTTTTTTGTTGTTGTTGTTGTTTTTGTTTTGTTTTTGTTTTTGTTTTTTGAGGCAGGGTTTCTCTGTGGCTTTGGAGGCTGTCCTGGAACTAGCTCTTGTAGACCAAGCTGGTCTCGAACTCACAGAGATCCACCTGCCTCTGCCTCCTGAGTGCTGGGATTAAAGGCCTGTGCCACCAACACCTGGCTCTCTCAGTAGTCTTAAGTATTCGCTGCATCATTATTAACTTTAGTCACAATGTCTTGGAGGAGTAGAATTGAAATCACACCCTTTGATGGGTGTCTTCTCCCATTCAGCCCCAGGCAACTATGCTCGATGCTTCTGCGAGTATAACTTTTTAAAAGTTCTACATGGGAACCCCCCCAAAAAAAACCAAAACAACAACAACAACAAAAAACAAGCCAGGCAGTGGTGATACAGACCTTTAATACCAGCGCTCAGAGGCAGAGGCAGGAGAATCTCTAAATTTGAGGCCATCCTGGTCTACAGAACAAGTACCAGGATAGTCAGGGTCACACAGATAAACCCTGTCTTGAAAAAAACAAAAAACAAAACACCAAAAGGTCTACATGTAAGTGAGAACATGCTCTCATGCCTGCATTCTCTCCATGTCCCCCAAACCCCTTTTCCTGAGGATCAAACAGGGATTGGCACAATCTAGACAGGCACTTGGCCAACAAGCCATACCTCAAATCCTTGTTATGTTTTTTAATTTGTCTTTGAAACAGGGTCTCACTGTGTAGCTCAGGCTCGCCTTGGACTTACTGTATAATCTAGACTGGTTTTCAACAGACAATCCTCCTGCCTCTGTTTCCCAAGGGCTGTGATGACAGTTGAACCCCCAGGTATCTTGTTAGTTCACTGGTGATAATGCCACCAAGTTCATCCATGATGCCAAAGAACACAGAAGTTCCTTCTTTTCAAAGGCTGAGTAATATTCCAGTGTGTGGACATGGGATGTGCCATTCCTAATTCCCCAGGAGCTGTTCTTATTCTTGGAAATAGTTCCTCACTAGCCGGTAGTTCACCGATTAGGCTAATTAGGCTAAACTGGCTGGTGAGCATGCCCTTCCATCTGCCTGTCTCTGTCTCTCCAGCACCTCTCAGAGGCAGGGTCACACAGATAAACCCTGTGGTGGCAAGAGCATGCCACCACACCTAACTTTTTAAGTGTGGGTCCTAGGAATCAAACTCAGGTCACCATGCTAACCTATCAAGAGTTTTGCTGCCTGATGTATCTCCCCCAGACCCCTTTAAATCCAATTTTTCAGTTAGTACACAATGTGATGCATTCCATTGTGGCATTTTCAAACATATATACCACTATACTTAGTGGTATTCAACCTCTCCCCCACTGCCACCCTCCAGCTCTCCTTCCCCCGACAGTGTGATAGTCTGTCACATGCATTTGTTACCATCTCTCCTGATCTCCGCACCCTCAACATCTCTCCTCTCTTGCTTCCGTTAGTTTCTGTCTCTATCTCTCTGTCTCTCTATATATATCTCTGTCTCTCTGTCTCTCTCTCTGTATCTCTGTCTCTGTCTCTCTCTCTGTATCTCTGTCACACACACACACACACACACAATTTCAATCTATATTCCACACACTAAACACGCGGTATGTCTTCCCAAGTCTGATTTTGTTTAACATAATATTTTCCAGTTGTATCTACTTTTCTGCAGATGATTTCAGTTTTTCTCTGTGACTTAATGAAATTCCATTGTATACTTTTTTTTACTATACATTGTACTTTTTTTTCTGTCCTTTAGCCACTCATTGAACACAGGTAGGTTCCATTTCCTAGCAATAGTAAATGTAGAGATAATAAACATGGATGCACGGGTGTTTCTGTGGAATGTCTATTTATAGTCTTTCGGGTTTTTACCCAGGAGTGGTATGGATGGGTCATAGGGTGGTTTCAGCTTTTTGAAAGCCCTGCACACTGACTTTTCCATAGTGGCTGTACATGTTTGCATTCCCTCCAACACAACAGAAGTACCCTTCCTTCCCCACATCCTCACCAGTCTTTGTTCTCCCAATAATAGCCATTCTGACTGGGATAAGACGGAATCTCCAGTTTTTATTTCCACTTCCCATATGATTAAGGGTATTGAATATTTATTGACCTGTGTTTTTTCTCTTGAGAACTGTCTATTTATTTGACTGGTCCATTTATTGATGGGGTGATTTTTGATGTTTATTTTTTGCAGTTCTTCAGGTGTTCTAAACACCTGACCGATGAGTAGTAGGTGTATATTTTTCCAAATTCTCTGTACTCTGGTGATGGGTCTGCTTTCTGTACAGAATTTAAAGTTTTATGCAGCACCACTTTTGTTATTTTCTGGACTGTTGGAGTCCTTGTCAGAAAGTCCCTGTCCTTGTCTGTATCTTCAAGTGTTTTACTTGTGTTTTTCTCTAGCCAGAAAGTTTCAAAGTTTCAGACTTGTATTCAGTCTCCAGTTGATTCTGTATCAATCCTGGAGCAAAGTGAGGCTCTGGTTTCATTTTTGCATGCATGGAAATTCACTTTTCCTGGACCACTTGTTGAAGAGCCATCTTTTTCCCAGTGTGCCTTTTTGAAACCTTGTTGAAAATTATGTGGCTGTGTGGGTTGGTTTCTGTATCTTCTATTCTATTCCACTGGTTTACAAGTCTATTTCTGTCCAAGTACTAAACTGCTTCTGGGGGAAAAAGAAAGGGAAAAGTTAAAAAATGGTGGTGGGCAACTTATCATTGAATTGAACTGGAATCCAGATGCAGAGAAGGACCAGTGAAGAGCAAAGGGGTCCAGACCAGGCTGGTGAAACCCACAGAAACAACCGACCTGAACATTGGGGAACTTTTGCTCCCCAGACTGATAGCTGGGATGCCAGCATTGGACTGATCCAGACCTCAGGAACATGGGTTTCATTGGGGAAACCTCGGAAATCTACAGGACCTCCTGTAGTAGTTCAGTACTTACCCTTAGCATAGGTATGAATTTTGGGAGCCTATTCCACATAGAGGAATACTCCCTGAGCCTAGGGGGCAGGCCTAGGCCCTATCCCAAAGGATACATTAGATAGACTCTGATGACACCCTATGGAAGGCCTTACCTTCCAGGGGGAGCAGAAAGGATATGTGATAGGTAGGGTTTTAGTTGGGGGTGAAGGTGGTAGGGGAGGATGGGAGGGAGAAGGGAACTGGGATTGTTATGTAAAACAACCTTGTTTCTAATTCAAATAAAAAAAAACTGAAAGAAAAAAATGGTGGTGGGGGCGGGATGGGGGAGGGAAAAACAAAAAATAAACAAAAAGAAACAAGATTAAAGATTGCCCGATAATGAAAAATGTGCAATAAAAGTCAATTAATATATGAAGGGAACTAAAATACAAAACATTAAAGATTTTTTAAAGAAGATTTATTAGTTTAATTTTATGTGCAAGTGTTTTTCCTGCATATATGTATGTGAACCATGCATGTGCTTGTTGCCTGTGGAGGTCATATGAAGGCACAGGGTTTCCTGTAACTGGAATTAAGGATGGCTATGAACCATCATGTGTGTTGGAAAATGAACCCAGATCCTCTGCAAGAACAACAAGAGCTCTTGATTATTGAACCATCTCTTCAGGCCCCGTGAAAATTTTGTTGTTGTTTTGAGTATAACGAAATGAAAATGAAAGTGCAGTAAAAAAGAAAGTGGAAATACAGGAAAAAAATAACTGAACTGTCTTAGCTTCTTTGTGGGACCTCAAAAACAACTGTAGTTTGTGGCTTCTATACATGGCAGGGCTCTATGCTGAACTCGAAGACTCTCATCTTTCCTGTGTTTATGCAGATGCTGAGTCCATCTTGGACAAGTGTCTGGTATCTGCCAGAGCTGTTTCAATTAGTAGCTTCTCTTGGGTACCAGAGGAGGGGCTGCTGCTGGTCACACTTCGCTGTACTGTCTGTGGACTGGGACGGTTCTCTGACACTCCCTAGCCTCCCCAAGACTACCCCCTTACACCCTTCACCCTCCACCACCCCATACCTCCCATGGTGGATGTTCTTACTGGAGGACATCTTGCAAGTATGTGAGAAATGGTTGAAGCAACCCCAGAACTGAGATCTCCATTCTTTCAAAACCCACAAGAACTGATCACCCCTGGGCATGCAGCTGTGGGTGTCAAGTATTCTACTAGAGTGCCAATGTTCCTGAATCTACAGTCTCAGTAGCAGACAGGTACCACAGCAATCCACTTGCTGACCTCAGGCTAAGTGACATCAAAGTCCAGAGTTACTCTCTTGACATCTGTCCCAGCCGCTGGGCTTGGGTCTTCCTTTCCTAGTGTGTGTCCTGCAAACTGTACCTTTTGGCTTGCCAGCATCTGCCTCTCTCCTTGCTTTCCACAACACTCCCCCACCTCCACCCAACCCCAGGCTGTCCTTCAAACTGAAGCTCTGTCCAGTTCAATTAAAGCTTTCTGGCTTGGGGTTGTTCCTCGTTCTCAGCTGCTCAAGACGACTTAGCTTTAAAAAACAGGTCCTCCTTCAATACGACACCGACCGCCACCCTTCTCAATCATACAGAATGACACAGTAGGATTCCTCTCTGCTGCTGACCCATCTAGATGGTGAGAGGAGCCATCATCTCACCAACTAGATTTGAGGCTTTGTGAGCACTGAGGTCATGACCTGAGGGCAAGACTACCAATTTGCCTTTCACCAAGGCCACCAGGCTCCCCTTGGCACTCCTTAGCACGAGGTTTCCGTTTCCCCTCCTCCAATGGGAAGCCACACAGTGCTGGTTTCAGCATGAACTCTTCCTTTTGTCATGCCACCAGTCTTTCCTCTGCACTTTTTAGCTGTTCTACCACTACCTTCGTGAACGCCCAAATCTCTTTCTTTCTTCAGTAGACTATATTCATCCCCCCTTACCTCCATTTCCATTTTTCTTTCTTTCCTTTGCCTTTTCTCTCCCTTCATCCCTCTACCCTCTTCTCCTCCTCTCTCAGGATTTATATCCCAGGCTTCACTATGTAGCCAAGGATGACCTTGAACTCCTGATTGTTCTGCATCCCCCTTTCATTGCCATAATTATAGTCTCATGTTAAGTGTTTGCAGTACTAGTACTGAACCCAGGGCTTCTGGTATGCAAGGCAGGAACTCTCCAATTGAGCTTTAGTGCCAGCCTTAGTGTATTCTTTTTTTATGCTGACTCTTCTCCTTACCTAGGTCATGGAGAGGCAGCATTAGTCTGCCATCTTGCAGGACCGCTCCTTCCTTTCGATTCTACCTGTTTCCTTGGTTAGTGATCTGCAGCAATTCCCCCATAAAACTGTTTGAATGTTTGGATGATTTTTGTTTGCTTTTTTGCTTTTGAGAAATGTCTATTTAGCTCCTGTGCTTTTCTGTCAGATTTTCTGACTACAAAATTCTGACCTAATAAAATGCATTTATTTGAAGGATTCTGTCTTTTTCAGTTTCTTGCAAGAGTTTGAGGAGGGCTGGCATTAACATTTCTTTAAATATTGCATAGAAGCACCAGGTCTTGAGCTGATTTTTGTGGGGGTGTTGTGTGGACAACTGACTCAGTCTTTATACTAATTACCAAACTGTTTATATTTTACATGTCTTCAAAATTTCATCTTGGTAGGTTGCATATTTTGTTGATGAATTATTGTTTGTGGTAGATGCTGGCAATCTTTTGTATTTCTGTGATATCTTTCATCATAAATTTCTTTGAGGTTTCTCTCTGTTGTTAATAAGTGTATCTAGAGGTTTATCAGGTTTTTATTCTCTTTTAGAAGCTGACCCTCAGTCTCTTTGATCTTTTGTTTTTCTGTCCTCTCATTATTTTGCTCTCATCTTTGTTATTTCCAACATTGATTAGGGGCATGGTTTGTTCTTTTTCTAGCTTACTAAGGCGTAAAGCTGTCTCTTTAAATCATCCCCCCCCCATAATTCATACAGTTATTGCTACAGACTTCTTTCTTACAACCACTCTTACTTTTGGTATGTTATATTTCTATTTAACTCACATCAATATTTTATTTATTTTTTCTTTTTTATTACTTCTTTGAGTCATTGGTCATTTGTAAGTATGTAGTTTTAATTTCTGCATATTTGTGAATTCTGCAATTCTGCCCCTGGATACTGTCCAGTTTCACACCACTGTGTTTAGAAAGGACAGTTGATATGATTCAGATGCTCCTGAATTTATTAAGACTGCTCTGTGTCGTAGCAAAAGGATCAGTTCTGGAGAATGTGCCATGTGTGAGCTTGAAAAGAATATTTAATATGCTGCCATAATGGAATCTTCTGTATATATATGTTGAATACATTTTTGCTGTAGTGCAGTGTTGAATCTGCTTTGTCCTGCATCTGTTGTTGAAAGTGGCTATTGAATTCCTTCTCCTATTAATGTCTTTTTTTTATAGCATCCCTTTATATACTTAGGCACACTGAGTATACATATACTTACAATTGTTACATTCCATTGATGAGCTGACTCCCTTGTCATTATATAATGACTTTCTTGGTCTCTTGTGACAGTTTTTGATTCACAGTCCATTTTATCTTCTATAGGCATAACCACCCTATTCACTCTTAGTTGTCATTTGAATGGAGTATCTTTGCAGCCCTTCACTTACAGGCTGTGTGTGCTATTAAAGCTAAATTGAGTTGTACAGGCAGCTTATAGTTGGATCTAAAAGAACAAAACAAAACCTCATTTGATTGTAATCTGTTTCATGGGTGGAGAATTTGATGTATTTACATTTAAAGTAATCAATAGATAAGAACTTACAGCTGCCATTAAACAATTGTTTTTTGATTATTTTGTGGTTCTTTTATTGTATTCTTCCTCTGATACTTCCTGTTCAACTTGATTTATCTACTGAAAAATTTTCTTTTTAGTAACATCAGGCTTATAACTCTGCTAAGATCGCATCTACCCTTTTCTCCTCCCCTCCGATTCTTCTTTCTCCCCATCACTTTTCCCTCCCACAATAATCTCCTTGGAACATTTTTATGATTGCATTGTATGGATGTACTGAATTTTAGCCAATCGGTTTAGTTGATGTTCCACATTGATTCTCTTATTTTTGCAAAAAGTCTTTAAGAATCCCTTTCTTATGTCTTTGGACACATTCTTTCTTACTTTCTGACCATATAGCTGTAGGTAAAGAACAATAAAAGGTTCTGCAAAGTGTTGCTATTTCCTCACTATCCCCTTAGGATGGTGAAGTAAACAGACTCAGTCATCTACAGTACAGAGACTAGCTGGTTATCATGGCTGCCAATGAAGGAAAGAAAGTCCACGATTCACTTGCTGTGGTCTTTGCTCTCAGTGCCTTGAGTATAATGTCCCATCGATCAAGGCTGTGTGGTTACTAATCCTTCAGCGAAGCAAAGGAAATCTGCAACACATGAGCACTTGTGGGCAATTTAGAAGATCTGAGCCAAGACAGATTATACATAGGCACAAATGCACCTAGATAAACCCTCAGGTGCCTATAAGGCAGACAGTATTCAACCCTAAGACTAGATAGAAAACTCACATATTTTTCAAGCAGCTTTATCAACTGAAGATCCCTGGACCTTTGTGCCTTTGAAATGATCTGTTACCAGTAAAAATGCTTTGGAGTTAAGATTGTCAACCTGCCTTTCCCATAAATCCTTTGTAATTCCTGTTTCATTTGATTTCATTTGATTCACCACTTGCTGTTTTATAGATTGATCTCATGTTGTGATAAGAAGATAAAAGTACTATAACTTATGGTTGACATTTTCCATAGGAACAGCCCTCCTTTCTGCACAGTTTTCCCCTGTCATTGTTTTTCTTTTCTTTTTTAGATTTGGCTCCTACAAAGAAGGGCACAATTATGAGAACAACCACCATTTTCACATGAATACACCCAAGTATTTCATCTGAACCCTTCTAGACAAGATGTTATTGTTGACTGGGAGAAATATGTACAGCTCAAAGAAGAGTTTAATGAAGACAGAAGGATACATGTGATGAACCCCAAGAGTTAAAAAGGGTGACATCGTGCAGTAGGAATTCCATCAATTCATAAGCTATTGATGCTTAATAAAGGCATCTCTCTGAGTTACTTTTATTTTAAAAAGTGTGTAATTATATAAGAAAGTTAAGTTCAGGGCTGGAGCTCAGTGGTAGAGTGCTTGCCTGGTGTGCATGGGGCCCTAGGTTCAATTCTCAGCACTGCCAGAGATAAAGTGGGTAGGGTGAGGGAAAGAAGAAACCACAGACTTGTGATTATTTTAACACCACTTGGCCAAGGGAAGATAGCTCAATGGGTAAAGTGCTTGCTGTGCATGCATGGAGACATGAGTTTGGATCCCCAGCATCTCTGTAAAATGCTAGATGTGGCAGCACTCCTCCATAACCCCAGTCCTGGGAAGTGACAGAGAGAGACAGGTCCTGGGGCTCACTAACCAGTCAATCTAGCCTGTCAGTGAGAACCAGACTCAGTGAGAGACCTTGTCTCAAAAAATAAAGTGGAGAACGATACATCTAGTGTCCACATGTACAGACCACATACACACACACACACACACACACACACTCACTGCAAATGGAGGTGGTGCTTTCATTTCCTAGCCACCCAGTCCCGAGTAATCACACAGAAGCTTAATATTAATTGCAAACTGTTTGGTCTATTAGCTCGGGCTTCTTACTAACTAGCTCCTACTTTTAAATTAACCCATTTCTATTAGCCTATATTTTGCCATGTGGCTTTGTGGCATTACCCGTTCTCTAGTACATCTTGCTGCTCCAGTGGCTCACTGGCTTCTCTCCCTGACTCTGCCCTTCTCTTTCCCTGTCTTTTTTAGTTTGGCTTTCCTGCCTGGCTCCATCCTGCCTTGCTATAAGCCAAATCAGCTGTTTTATTAACCCATGGGAATAAAACATAGTCACAGCATACAAAAGGGTAATCCCACATCAAATCCTACTGGTATAGACAAAATAATTTTATTTCTATCAATAATCTCTGGGGAAAGGACAATATGTATCAAGTTATTTCTACAGTATTTTCAGATACACCATCCAGCACACAGTCAAAGAGTGAACATAAGCCACCATGAATAGAAACAACAGACAAGAAAAGCAGACTTGCTGACACTTCCAATATGGAATTTATCAGGTCCAGACTATAAAGCAACTACAATTCGCAGGTTCAAGAACCAGCCATGATTAAACACTTTGGCAAGAAACTAAAAGTGTAAAGAGTGGTCCAACAGATTGGAAAAGAGAGAAAAATAAATTCCAGCACTCTAAAAAACAATGCCAACTGAAATAAAAAATTCACTGAAATGATTTAACATCAGAATAAACAAATAGTTGAAGGAAATTTGTGAACTGGAAGATAGGTTAGAAACCAAAACCAAACCCCACTGATCCAGAGGTTGATAGACACAGGGCAAAACTCAAATGTACTGTTTAACATCCTTCTTGTCTTTGCCAGTATGCATATTAACTGTTCCACTGATACCCTCACATAGCAGTGTGCTCTCCTCAAGTCAAGTCCACATCTCTAGCTACACAAAGTGTGTGACACTGGTGTTATATAATCCCCTTTAGCTTACATCCATTATTCTAGCGCCTCCAACCATCCTGGTTTCACTGATGCTGACTGCTGTTGGATTCCAGGATAAAATAATGGCCCTGGTGGTGGCAGAGAGGTGTGGCTGACCCATTTCTCTAGATGCAGGCTCTTTGCAGCACCGACATTGCATTGATGTGGAGATGGAGACTCGATTCTTGTGTTAAATTGTGTGGCTGCCATCCTGGGAACTGATGATGACTGCTTTGGAGACAATGGGACAGTGACTGAGGTCATTAGTAGATTGCTGTGATCTGTGAGCTCAGCACAGTGTCATATAGTCTCAGCAGTATTTTATGGTTTTGAAGGAAATGTATAGAGATTAAATAATTTCTATGGAAATCTGGGCTTCTTGCTAATGGTAGCAGCAGAGCCAATGTTCTATGGTTGAGTTGTTCTAGGGCCTAATTCCTTCTCTTTGTAGAAAAGACAGTATGCAGATAATTCCTGCTTGCTCTGCTTATTAGCAGAGGAAAACACCCATATAAATATTTTTCCAGTAGTTTTTCCATAACAGAAACTTCCTAATAATATCTCTGTAAACAGTTTCTAATATTTTTGGCGCTTACCCATTTTATTTTTTTCTTATAAAGTACAGCTGGATGACAAGATGTTGCAGTTGGTTTCAGATTTTTCCTATATTGAAGATGAGAATAACACTTGTTTCTTTTTCTTTTTTTATTTCCACTTATTTTTTGATGTGCTACTTTTAAACTTCTATTTTCCCCCAACTTGCTATTGAAATATAACTCTGGTACATCTTCACAGAGTGTGTTCTCATAACTTGATACAGGACTGCAACACATGACAAACAAACCAGAGTGAAAAGCACTTCTGTTGTCTTAGGTGTCAATCATTTTTATTTGCCAGGAATTTTTTTATACAGAAGTCATTTGAAAATGATCATAGCTTGCTTTAACCAATAGCCAGTGCTGTGCTATAGGAACCCAGATTGGCACGTCAGTGCCTTTTAGTAGGCTACTTTCTGTTCTCCTCATACTTCCCTGTCTCTAGTGATCACTGATCTGCTCCATCCTTCTGTATGATTGACCTTACACTTATTTACTTAGTTCTTTGACAATTCCTATATGTACATAATGCTTTCTGGATATTCTCCTCCCCCTACTCTCTCTACTTCCCATGCCTACCCATACCCCCACACTGTCCCTTTCTAAGGTCCATGACTATTGGTTTTTGTTTTGTGACATTTAGTTTAACCAGGGCCATCTCTGTGACCTTGGGATATGATGCTAAATCATATCAATGATTTTTGAATTTTAGTTAGAATTATTTTTAGAGTTCTAGGCTTAATTTTCTCTCTCTTTTCATCATCTATTAGGCCAGTCTTTACACTTTTAATTTCTTGCCAAAATGTTCAAGCTTGGCTTGTCCTTGAACCTGGGAGGTGTACATAACTTCAGGTTGACTTTTTCATTTTCCACAGTGTGCTCTTTGTAAAATAAGTGTGATAAGCCAGGGACTCCCAATCTGGGCTGGGAATGGTGGGTAGGCTGTGGAAGACAGAATCCTATGACAGAAAATGTATGACTGCCAAGCCAGTTTCTATTGGATTTACTCCTGGCAGTTTCTGCCTCCACCTTTCTCAGGCTCTTGACTCCTTCCTCTTCAATGGAATGTCTTCAATGAATCCCGTAATTCAATGGATACTGCTAGCTTGCCTCCCATTTTTCAGTTATTTTTAAACATTGGGTGCCTTTTAGATGATCACATAGAATCTGGGGACAAAGAAAGACACAAATAAAAAGGGAAGGTACTTATCCACAATATATTGGGGTAATAATTTACCTTATTTTAATCATTTGGGACAGTACAATAGCCTCCGTTGTCCATAGGGTTTGTTTTTCTTTCTGTGACTTTACTTACTTAATTTTAATTGGGTCTGAAAATATTCAGTGGGAAACCCTAGAACTAAACATAGGTTTGAAATTGGGTCATATTCTGAGTAGTGTGGTGAAACCCTGTAAACACATCTCTGTCTAGCAATAGCCACGCCGTGTGTGTTCCTCACCCATCAGTCAGTAGCCATCTCAACTATCATATCCTCTGTTACAGAAATATGGTGTGCTTGAGTGATCTCTACCTGAAAAAAATCTAATGAAATATAGTAATAAATATGCAAATAAATAAATAAAATAATAAAAATAAAAATTCATTTATGTGTATGTGTGGGGGCACACACATGCCAAGGTTCACGTATGGTGGTCGAGGACAATCTGTGGGGGTAGGTTCTTCTACTATGTAGATCCTGGGAATCCAGGTCAGGTCATCAGACTTGGTGACAAGTGTATCTACCCACTGAAACATCTCACTGGCCTACGTAATCTCTCTTCTGTTTTCATAATGTTACCAAGGAACAAGAGTAGGTGTAAGATGGAAAGTAAAAGACCCAGAGACTGATATTAGTGTTCAGCCTGAAGATCAGGGAAGCAAAGCAGCAGAGCTACCAGAGAGTTGTTACTTGTTAACAGGGCTGGGGCGTTCCTATTCTCAATGTGGTTGGAGAACAAATGCCTTTTTCTGAGGCCTTGCACCTGTCTTATGTACCTCTCGTGAGTCCTGAAATTACAGGTGTGAACTATAATTCTCTTTTAGACTGATAAACTCTTGTGTAGATCTGGGTGGCCTTGGACTCACAGAGATCCGTCTAATTCTTAATCCTGAATCCTGGGATTAAAGGTATGTACCACCACCTCCTAGCTTCTGGCTGCTGAAATTAAAGGTGTGTATCGCCACTGCCTGATCTCTATAGCCTGGGGCTGACTTTGCTTTTCTGAATCCTCAGGCAGGCTTTCATAAATCATAAATAATATATCACTACAAGTAGGGTTGCTGGCAACTTGAATTGCTAAAGAGAAGCATGACGTGGATCCCTTACGGGAAAGTACCATAAGATATTTTCAAAGAGACTGGATATATTTAATTTGTTATACTGTGCTGTAACAGTAATTACTGTTTTGGTTTTGGTTATTTTTATGAAATTACTTTGCCTGACTTAGAAATTAATCTTTGCAATAGGTATGGAGGTATATAATAAGACATTATGTATATACATATATATATGATTGCTAGATGGTAAGTGGATTAGTGATAGATAGATAACAAACAGAGCTAGACATACAGAATTTGCTACTATCTGAGGTTTCAGCATCTACTGAAGGTCTTGGGATATATCCCTTACAAATGCAGGATAAGCGGGAGGCCATAATATCTATTTTAATTCTCATGGATTAGGAGAGCATTTGATTACCATGACTCCAGTTTCCTACAGTCAAATATCAATGCAATTTCATATGCTCATCCTCTTTTATAAAGTTAGTCTGCATTACAGAGCTTTTGAAGAGTGAATGCCTTGAGTTCCCTTTAGTATATGAGCAGCCAAATAAATAATGTCAAAATAAAGACATT